AAATCCTATCACTTTTGTTGTCTTGTCTCTGGAGTATTGAACCTATGTGGAACACCACTGTGATGTACACGAATATCAACTTCACTTATTGTAAAATTGTCAAGAAACAAGGATTTTGCGCCTTCTTTTAATTGACGGGACGGCTGACAGACGGTCAATTTCAAATTGACTTTTTTTTCTCCAAAACGATCGCATGCTTTTCTCGCTAGAGAGCACTGCTTTCGGGAGAAGCAAAACACGTGCGATCTGAAGAGAGAATCACTAAGTGAGCGGCTTGACCTAAAAGTCCGTACTCGTCTAGCTCGGCGAATTATTTTCTGAATTTGGCCATCATCATGTGATGAGAACTCAAAAGCTTAGTTTTGTCTAGACACTGCCTTGAAGCTAGCTGTGACCTAAGGGGATTGGAAGCATCATTAATCCTTTTTATCATGCATATGCAAAGGGTGAATCATGGTCGAAAAAAAGTTCATAATTTGATTGACAATCAGTGAAACTATGACAATAAACAATACTTTTTGGTAATGTGAACTTAGCCGAAGAAATGCAAATGAGAAAAAGCTGCATCATTTTGACTAGTGTTCCTGAAATCTTCTTGGCAAAATGTAGCTGGGATGGGGGAAGTGAAGGTTGAGCATTTTGTAAATTTAAAAAACACCTTTAGAATCGAGAGGTGTGATGTGGAGTTGCGCACGTGTATCAATGCTATCTACTTCACTATTTCACTATCACTTTACTATTTCACTTGTTTTCTCAAATCAGAAAATTCCTTTCGAAATCGTACCTCACATAGAACATCTGCATTATAAGTTTTTAAAATTAATTCAGGATCCAAAATAGTAATAGTCTTTTCTCGTAGCATTCGGTGTAATTGCCTTTGTCTTTGTCCAGGTATTCTTATCCAAACACTTTATTAAGTTCATTTTAAAAAATCAGATAATATCAAGGCAAAGATCTGATAATAGAATAATTGCGTTAGGTACAGTTCTAAGGCCTTAGGACACGCAAATGCAAACCACCGCCAATAGCGTAAACTGTATATAATTTGGTAGGGTGTCAGTTCTTGTGTTACTTCTATACACAAATCTTTCCTACCTACCTTGAGATTTCTAGCAACTCAAAACGTTTTAGTTTTGCTCGCCTCATTTTCTGACTTGTGAGCGAAGGCGGACGTAAATTTACAGCATCAACGTTGTGCCACCGTGATGATCTGCCGCCTCATCGCGACTCTTGGTGTCGAACTGCGAAGTACAGCGGAGGTTTTCCAGCAGTGTTCCAAGCTGAGAAGGAGTTCGACGTTTCCAGCCGCTCGGATGCCCAGCTAGGAGTAGGCCATGCCAGAAGCCCCAGTCTGACTGATTAAGTCGTTCGGTGGTTCCCTGATCCATATAGGTCAGCGATTGGTGGTGAAACTTGGCAGTCCTTAGCAAGGCTGCTAAATTTGGGATTTATTTTATTGCTTGTACAGCATGTAATAGGAAAAAAAGCCCTACGCACTGGATCACATCTCCGGCGTCGGATGTCATCAAGACCAGTGTCAGGACGCCATGGATTTCGGACGAAAAGGACAAGCCAAAGACTCGTCATGAAGATTGTCTCATGCTCTGCATCTACAACGCCAGGACAGTTCCATCAACGCCGATTTTTATGCCTTTCTCAAAGCTGCAAAACGCATCAACAACGTGTAATCGCCTTGTAAGAAACAAAGTCAAGGAAGACGGACGTGATGCAGGTGAGTGATGGTACACTCATCATTCGCGATGAGATAGTTTCATCACAGAACGTTGGAGGCGTCGGATTTGTCGTACACCCATCTGTTGTCCATCTCGTTGTTTCGCACAAGATCCTGTCACCTCGTCTGCTATCCTTCGATTCCGGCTTCTGTATCAGAAAACCATTTTCATCAACTGCTATTCTCCAATATCAGCGGCTGATGACTCGGAACGTGATGCTTTTTATAAGGATTTGAAGGAAGTGATCCGCAAAGAAAACTTCTATAAGTTCGTCGTGGATGACTTCAATGCGAAAATTGGGATGTCAGAAGAAAGGGAGCATAGGATCGGTAGATTTGGATCAGGACCCCGGAATGAGAATGCTAACCGTCTTGTAGGGCTCTTATACGCCGCATGACTTTTTCATGGCAACTCCATTTTCATGAAAAAAGAACACCGGCGGTGGACATGGGAGTCAGCCAACG